GAAAAATGTTTATGAAATTGAAAAGTATTTATAATAACACAGCTTCGAGTGAACTAGTTAAAGTCTCTGTTCGTACAACTGGATGAGTAACTGGAATCTTAAATGAAATGAATCTAATGCAGATCAACTATATGTTACACATTTCTATACATATATGTAAAGTTGTTTCAGATAACAATAAACAACGATCTCCATATGAATGCTCTGTTGGATAGAATGAATCAACAAACTGTTAACTACGGAACCCCTGAACAAGCAATAAAAACTCGCATCGCAGAAATGTTGCAGACTATGAGAAATGACAAGAAAAAGTGGTTTCTCCACATGATCACATAAAAATCAAGCGGCATGAAGCCTTATTAGAATTCACTGATCACTGAATCTGCTTTTGAAAACCATGCTCATTTCGGCTTCGCCTTGTATTTCACCTCACCCTCTTGCACCAGTTGATCCAATTCATGTTCCCAATCTAGCAGCTCCGCCAGTCGACGGCATCCATCATCACATGTACCACTCCAGAAAACATCCCTCAAATGCATACGTATAACTTCTAGTCTCAAAACTACATTATGCTTGAGCTTAGCTGATCTCGCTCCTTTTCCCCAATCTTCACGAGCAGAGGTGATGCAGTGACAGGTTGCACCGCTATCACACGCATGGCTCATTGGTCTTATCTTGGTCCATACCTTCATCCCCAGATTCGATTTTGCTGCTAGGCTTGCTTGAGAACATACAAAGGCTGGATTGCAAACCTGTCGGCGCCATTACAAATCTAAGTGAGAGCAGGGCCAACGTCTGTTGGTCGGAGTCTAAGCAAGGGACTGGGTTCTGGCATACCGAAGAAGAGGGGGTCGTATGCGCAGGGATCAACATCGCAATGCGTGGGATCTTCATGGGTGTAAGTGTGTGGGATCAGTTACGCCATAAGGGATCTAAAGTGTGGAAAATGCCATTGGCAAAAAATGCAAGGGGAATGACGAAATGTTAGACAGATAAAGTCGCGGTTTAAGGCTCTGCTTTAGCATTGAAAAGGTTGTGATTATTACGTTGTCCCATAATTAGTGAATCGACATAATTTTCGCTATAAAGAATTCAATATCTTAAAACGATGTTTTGCCAAGTAGTACCCACATGTCCTACTTAGCAATTAGTCAGCCCATTCACATGTTGCCTTCCGAGGCTGAAACTTCAATTTTTCTGGAATCTTCCCCAAACACGATATGAAATCGCCATGTTCCCTCTGGTTTCCCAGTTCCTTTCAGTGATCATCCTGCGTATTCACCAGTGTTGTGAAGTGGGTGGAGTGTGCTAGCAAATTCACAAGGAGCAGTAGCCTAGCTTAAAAGATTCGGGAGTTCTGACAGCAAAAGCCCAACCTCCTCTAGTCCGACACTTCTGAGATGTTGGTAGCACGAAAGGGACCTTGCGCTGGGAACCGCCGCCCAGTAATACTAGGGTCACTGAAGAAGATCAACGTCGACAGCGTAATGGCGACGCGTTCAATTTGAAAGTAAAGCAAGACAAAGTCTGCTTTTTTCCTGAGGTCGTTCGACCCCACCTTGCGGAGAATATTCATAAAAAATTGGAGACTTCAGGCTAGCAGTTCTTCCAGCCGCCGTGTAGCCCTATCCTCGTACCAACAAAAGACAACCTAGTCTGAGCACTCTTCTTCAGGAAGAAATTTTACGCTAAGTGACATGACCTCAAACCCGACTTCCGATCTTTCTTCGATCAAGAGCTCCTGGAATTTAGAGGAAAGACAGCGACTAAATTCCCATGTATAGGCAATACATTGTAGATGACAGAGGTGTATGTTTGGATGAGCAAGGACTTCGAATAAAAAAGAAAAAAATTTGAATTCAAAAATACCCAAAGTGATTCACTAATTATGGGACAACCTAATAGATTCTCTACTTCACAGCAAAAAATTTCCGGAACACAGCACATTCGTGCTAGTCTTGAAACTAAGTGGCCCGAAAATTGCAAATCTACACAAAATTTCGAGGATATGAAATCTGATGATACCGAAATTCTTCGGAAAATTAGTAGTCGTGCCGTTGTTTTTTTTTCAGTGCGCACAGCGACCTAAACGTGCGCAGTGCATTGGAGCGTTTTACTTGACTTCAAATCTCATTTTTCCTTCCTCTTTATAACTGCTAGGGAGGAAGGACGTATCGAGACTCTCCAATGAGGGGAGGGGGATGTCGTAAAATTTTATAAATCAAACAACGTGACGGTTGACCCTGGGTGGGAGTGAATGCGTG